AATTTATAATTTATAATTTATAATTTATAATTTATAATTTATAATTTATAATTTATAATTTATAATTTATAATTTATAATTTATAATTTAAATTATTTATAATTAATTTATAATTTATAATTTATAATTTATAATTTATAATTTATAATTTATAATTTATAATTTATTATTTATTATAATTTATAATTTATAATTTATAATTTATAATTTATAATTTATAATATATTATAATATATTATATATTATATATTACATATTATATAATAGTTGCAAAAATAAAAGGGAGAGCAGGAGCCTAGGTGCATTTAACCACTTTTTCAGTCACTGGGTTACAATGGCATTACAGAGGATTTCGGCAATTAGAGAGGCCTGGTTCATTGCATGAATCCAGGGGTGTCAAACTCAAGGCCCGGATCTGGCTTGTGATATGACTAGTTCTGGGCTGCCCTGGAAATGGTGAGGGGGTCACCTGAGCCCCACCTCTCCTTGCCCGGCCTTGCCTCACCTCGCCCCACAGCAGCATCGACAGCAGCAGCAGCAGCCTCGAGAAGGTAAGCATGGCCAGGCACCCCCTGAAGGAACTGCAGGGTTGGACTGCAGGGTCCCGGTGCCCCGGAATCTGGAGAGCCAGCCACACCCATCCAGCCACGCCCACCTCATGGTCTTACATGCAACTGGCCCTTGTGGAGGGCAACCATAATGATGCGGCCCTCAGTGAAATTGAGTTTGACACCCCTGCATTAAGCAAGCCCCAAAGGTCTGTATAGATTTTCTTTTTTTTTTTAAATCACATTTTTATTTTATTTTAATATAAACAATCCACCTTCCATTAAACAGTGTGTCATCTGGGTACAAATATTTTGTGCAATAACAATTGAAATCTACAATCATATTCATTATTTAATCTATTCCCGGCTTAATACCAATACCTTAAATGTCTAATGCTATAACAATCCTCTTCTTGATTTATTTAACTCTATTAACTGTTAACTCAATTGATACATTTTCTATATTTTACACATCTACTTTTATTTCTAATTCTTGTACTTATTCTCTAACCATCAATAAAATGATTCCCATTTGATATAATAATCAGTTGTTCTTTCTCTTTAATTGCCAGTGTTAACCTGTTCATTTCTGCACATTCTAATATTTTCTTAATCACATTCTCCTCTCTAGGAATCTCTTCACTTTTCCAGTTTTGTGCAAATACAATCCTAGCTGCTTTTATTGCATGGATAATCAGATATATATTTTCTTTACTACAAGTTTCTGGTAAAATCCCCAACAGGAATATTTCAGGTTTTCATGTGGATGTTCAAAGATAAATCAGCTAAATGTTGAAAATGTCACCTGGCTTGTACTATCATATGTGGTGGACATGTGTAGAAGCAACCATCCCTTTCTATCTTTTTTCCAGTTTCACACCCAGCCTTGTGTGGTTAGTCCGGCTCTCCATTACCTGCGGAGATTCAGAGTCGGGGTCAAGCCCATTTTGGGATGGCAACTCCAGAGTTAAGCCTTGCTGTCCAGGGCTCCTGGGGAAAGAGAAGGATGTGCCAGGTAGTGCAAAGTTTCAAAGTAGCAACTGCATGCAGGTAGTCCTTGACTTACAACCGTTCACTTTAGTCTTTAAGTTATTACAACAGCACTGAAAAAA